AAGAATGTGGAAGATTAGGCACTGACAAACGAATTCTCTGCTGGTCATCTGGAGTCACTGAAGAGTGTCAACATCAGTCTTACCAGGAGCCTCTTTGACAATGATGACTTGCTAGCCTGTGCCAAGGACAGGGCAGGGCATTTGAGTGGAGGGATGGTGGGGGGGTTGTCAGTATCCTCCTTGGTGAACTACTTTAGTGACTTACCTTCTTTGTCTTCCAGGCAAACAGCTTGCTGCGAATCACATGCTCTTTCAAAATCCCTTTTTATTTCAAAGGCTTTAGATATGGGTACTTACAGGTCAGCGAATCCTTGTTGCTTTTGAAGCACATTTCTGGAATACTTTTGTGAAGATTTGATTGTTGTCCTCTTCCCACATTGAGTGCCCGCTGCATTGTGAAAGCCAACTTTGTCAAAAGCATTGCCGAGTTTCATTTGGAGCCCTGTGCCATTTAATAATATAATGAAAGCTAATCCCCCTTGCTCTTGTGGGCATTTGTTGCATTCAAGCCCCATTCACCCTATGGTGGGTTTATCCAAAAATATTTTCATTCAGTTGTTGCTGCTTTGGATTTTTCTTTGGATGAATCACTTGAGCCCAAGTTGCTTGAAGTGGTTTTGTCTGTCCTTAAAAGAGGAGGAATGTGATTTCCATCTCAGTGCTGTGTAAAACAGACATTGAAAAAATCCAAATCCTCTCCTGGCTTTAGCTTCAAGACCCACATAAGAGGTCATTATATAAGTGGGGAACTCTTGGCTTTGATGAGACAGCTACTGTGGAAAAAAACAAGCCAGCTCTTAGTGATTCAAGGAGCTGCCTTCTGCTGAGCCTGACCACTGGTGGTTCTGTCCCATTACTGTCATCTCTGATTTGATTGACAGCATTTGTTTTGGCTTCTCAGTCAGATTCCTTGTTGTACCCAGGTTCTGTACAATTAGGAAGTGGCTAATGTGCCATCATAAGGGAAGAAGAGTTAAGATTGCAGCGCTAAACACACATCACCAGGGCTGACTCTACTGTGAGGCAAATGAGCTGCCCGAGCTGTCCACCTCATTTTGTCTAGCAGCACGGCTGGCCCTACTTCCAAGAGGCAGTACACAGGAGAGCTTAAATGGACCCCATTCTTAGGCCTTCCCTGTTGCAAAGCCTGTGCTCCTTTGGCAAATGTGGCCTTCGAAGTGGTAGTTGTGTTCGTCTGTGCACACATACGTCAACAAGAAACGGACACGCACACACAGAAGAATAAGAAGAAGACAAAGACATTGTGGCATCTTAAAGACTAATTACTATATCTTAATGTGAGCTTTCATGGAACAAGTCCATTTCTTCAGTTATAAAAATAAGAATATAGACACTACATGGCAAAACATACATGGCTCTAAGATAAAGCGGTTAATGGTAGTTGGTAACTTCAGCTTGTAAATGTTGTAAGTCGTTGTGGTGTTTCACACCTAGTAATGATTTAAGACTTGTTTGGTATTCAGTTGTTTTTTTTCTTTTGAAGCTTTATTCTTATAGGAAATGAATCCAGAGAGAAACAGCTGAAACAAAATATATACTTAATAACTATCTCAATTGATTAAATATTAGCCATAGATTCTTAAGCCATTACTAAATGTGAAATACTACAATACTTACGTTATCTGCTGTCATCTTCCATAGCCAGGCTCCTTCCCACCCACAGCCACCCTTACAGAACAAGCTTCAAGGTAAAGTCAGTGATTCTTTACTCATTACCATATGTAGCTTCTGCTGTTGTTTCTATAGCCGAGAGTTTTTTTAGCCACTAATCATTCTTTCTCCATTCTTATTGTTATGTCTGAAGAAGTGAAATTGTTCCATGAAAGGTTACATTAAAATACAGTATAGCAGTTTGTCTTTAAGGCGCTACAATATTTTTGTCTTCTTTACATTTTTGTTTTGTTTCGTGTTTCTTGTTAATATACTTTGGCAAAAGGTTACTCTACAATATGTTTCTCATTTAGATACATTTAAAATATGCCCCTAGAGTTTTAGAATAAATGTCCGCAACATATATTTTTAAAAATGTTTCATAATTTCTTGGGTGGTATGGCATGGTTTCAGAGCCTGTTAAGTTGCCTCACTTCTTTGGTTTGGCCAAATCATCTCGGGCTCACTTATCATAAAGAGAGGTGTCCCTGTTTGCCTCTTTCAGGGGTTGGGCTCTGTCTTCTTTGAAATAACCCTCTGCAGAAAAACCATAACTGCTGGTGGTGTGGCGGACATGGTTGCTTGCCACTTCTAAGCTGGAATTTCTAAAGTAAAAAAAAAACTTTTAAAAACTAGGAGAAGTTGCTTGATACTGAGTGAGCTGATTAGTTTATCTAGCTGAGTGTCATGTACGTTAATTGATAGTAGTCAGGCAGTACTCTTTGCAGATCACTCAAAAGTTGTGAATAAAGCAAGAACCTCTTCATCAAGCAAAGTTGGTATAAATGTTGAGGTTTAAGCAGAAAATCCAAAATATGATGGGTATGTCTCATGCAGCCAGACTGGTAGGAGGGCAAAAGGTCATTTTAGATTCTACGTGAGACAAGTTAACAAAGCTGTTATAATTACAGAGTCTGGATCTCACCTAAGAGGAAGGCTGGCTTGACTTTCCTCAGATTGATGGTAACACTCTTTCTCAACGCAAAGTTACTTGGGAATGCCAGGACCTAGAAAGTCTACAAGCCTAACCTGGAATAAGAGGGAAAAGGCCCACTGTGGATTTTGATGCTTAAAACGTCCTTAATGTTCAGTGCAATCCATTTAAACTCTTGGTAGCTGTCTGTGAAGAACTCTTTTGCATCTTAATGAATTGCCCCAAAATGATTACACACTGTAGCTGGAAAGATATGGGCCAGCTCTTCAAGGGGAAGGGTGGATTGTTTTAAGTAGAAACACAAGTGGATGAGGTATTTTTCCCCATGTCAAATAGTGCTATCAGGGCAACGTATACCATAACTATATGCCAGTGTGGACAGGCCTTAGTCTCCTAGTGGTAAGGGTGATTTAACTGAAACAGAACCAAAACTAGTTAAAAGTTTCCAGCAGTGCAAGCATTGGATCAGTTTTTACCTATCCTATTTTCTTACCACTGAACTGTTTAGATTATCTTGTGGTTTCACAGGGTAGTCACCTAGAATGATCAGTGCTCATTTTTCAAACCACCAGCTCTGCATCAACTGCAACTCTAATGATCCTGCATTGGGAAGTCCAGAGGTCTACCTCCTAAAGGCCCCCTTTTAAATTTTTAAACACAGGCCACATCCCAAACTTTGGCACAAATCTGTCGCTTTTGCTGGCAAATATTTACCTCTCATTTTTCATGTTTCCCCAGATTGAAAAATGAGCGAGCAGCTAATAATGTGTCTTGCCTGCTGTAAAAAAACAGCACTCGAGTCCAAATTCATTTTTAAAAATGCACCCGGCTCCTGTGGTTTTTTGTGGCAATTTCTTTTCTTTCTTTTTTTTCGTGCGCATCAATTTTTCTTTTATTGAGCTGGGCTCTTGACTTAGCCAGAAAACATTTTGAGCTGTTCTTAAGGTATGGAGTTGCTTGATGCTGTATTAAATTCTTAGTAAAAAATGGCTTGTTCTTGCCTTTAACGAGGAAGGTCAACCTTTTGACCCCAGAGTTTGAACCCTGATTTCTGGCCCGCTTCCGAGCTTCATCCACTAAATTAATAAATTATCTCTCCTATCGTGCATTTGTACAGGGAACGGAAGCTCTCCTCTGTCCCATGCCATGCTCAGCTGGCTTTTGAATGTTCAGCAAGGGATGCCCAGAGGTGGTGCCATTCAAGTGATTCTTTTAAGACGACAAGAACCGTTACATTGGTTTCCCTTTTGGAAGCGGACTCTTAAGCTTAGCGCCATTGTCTGCAGCGCCCTCATATGAACAAAGAGCCCCAGAATACGCAGAACCCTTTGCTACTCTTCTACCAATGCTGGTTGTGACAACAGGCCCAGATTCACCATGAGGCAAAATAAGCACAAGCTTAGGGCAGCAGCAGGGGAAGGCGGCACCGCAGAGTTTTTCTCAGTGAACCATAGTGCAAATGGTGCACCCTCCTTAACAAGCTACATCCATCCATTCATCCCTCCCTTCCTTCCCTCAAGAGCCCCAAGAAATCCACCTCCTTACCTAAAGCAATTGAGTGTGAACCAGCCAAAACTAGAAAGGATAAAGACTCACCTAGCCAGAAGACATAGGTTTTGATTGAAACGATCAATTCTCATCATCATCGCTTAGCAGGGAGTTTAGAAAAGCCTAGAAGAAGGCCGAAGCCCCAATTATTTGCTTCAGACTTGGGAGTGTTTGCAGTCTCCATGCTTAATTGCTGGGTTGGGGTTTGGGGGTTTGAGTGTTTGGACTGCAGATGGATTAGGAAGCATGCCTTCCTGGCTTTTGAGAAGAATGGAAAGGAAAGGAGTCTCTTTTGAAATCTGTTTCTCAGCAAGCGGCTCAGGGACCAGAAAGGAAAGGTAGAAACGGTGATATGTAAACCTGAAAAGGGAGAATATGTAAAAATAGGGTTGGCTGCACTGAGACTTCGGGACTGGGTTGGGCTGCTTAGAGAGTGGAAGAAAGAAAGAGAGAAAAGGAACTTTGAAATGTTAGTGGTATTGCTAATGCAGTAATATTAAATTTATAATGCTCAGGTATTGAGATAATTCTAAATAAATTAATTCAATGCTTAATTATTTTGCTAAATAATTATGGTGTGTTTTTTTTTAAGTGAGCTACAAATTGAAGTAATGAGAATCATTGACTGCCACTCATGAATAAAGTTGTTGGAGTTTAAAATAATGAATTTTATAGTCATGGTTGAAATGTAACAGATTAGGGGTATCAACTATGTTACAGGCAGACCTCCTTGAATTTGTCTGATCCTTTAAGCTGTGACTCTGGGGCCAGTTTATCAATACCTGTCCCAGCTCCATAACGGCACGATTTGATGCTTCCTCTCTTCTCTTCCTGTTTGTTGCCCCAGGTCCAAGACATCTCCTTCAGCCGCGACTGCCGCTGGGTGGTAGTCAGCACTCTACGAGGTACCTCTCATGTCTTCCCCATCAACCCCTACGGAGGGCATCCCTGCGTCCGCACGCACATGTCGCCACGAGTGGTCAACCGGATGAGCCGCTTCCAGAAGAGTGCGGGGCTGGAGGAAATTGAACAGGAGCTGACGACCAAGCAAGGGGGCCGCTGTAGTCCTGTCCCAGGCCTGTCAAGCAGCCCATCTGGTTCCCCTCTTCATGGTGAGTACCGGCCTTTCACACAGGTAGAGAAGGGAAGCAATTCCCAGAGAGGGGTGGCCTGTTGAGCAAGAATGGGCCCAAAGCGTCTGGAGAGCAGGATGTGCCCAGGGTTGCGTATACATGTGCTGAAGTTCAGCCAATGAGCCTCGATTCTACCCTGCAGTAAATTTGGACGGAAGGTCAAATGGGAAAGATTCAAATTCTAAACAAGCACTCTTATGCATATTAAATAATAGCAGTAACAAAGTTCCAGAGCTAGATTCTCTCAGATTTTATTTTCATGAGCCTTTCAAGGTCTGTACTCCGTGCTGCGTTTCAAGGCAGTTACCTAACAATTGTACTGTTTCTGGTCAACAGTAGAAAGAGAGGAATCTTTAGCCCAAGATGAAAGTTAAATCACAGGAAAAGGTGGGCTGGTTAGGTTTTTGTTCCCTCACAGCTCCCTTTGGCAGTCATATGGAAAGGTTGAGGGACAGCTCTGTATAGCCTCAGTCTGGCCTTACTTGTGTCCAGTTACACTGTTCCTTGCCAGAGAAGCCTGCTTATGCTACGTGTAGGCACCATACAAATTAGGAAAGATTGCTCGCTCAAATAATTTCTCCTGGGTTTTTTATTCAGGGGTAGAGGCAAGCAGAGCTACTGATGCACCGTCCTCAAATTGTGTGAAAATTTAGTCCATGTACATACAAATAATTCCTTGTCCATTCTGGTTGCTTCCTCTGTGTTGAATTTTAGCTTGTAAGCTCATTAGGACAGGATGTTTTTCCTTTGTTTTTAAACTGCTCTTTGTATTGGGCATCTTAAATATCACCACTACCACTTTGGTTTCTTGGAAGCAAAATAGGATTTTATGAAGTAGAATCCACATCATCTTGTGGAATTCTAATTTCAATAATGCCTCAGAATTGTAACAATGATGAAAATTATGTTATCGCCATCGTCGTTATCTAGTCAGCTTGAAATAATGCTTCATGTGTAAGAGGAAGTGGACTCTAGTCCGATTTTGACAATGAAAATGACTACAAATGACTTAGTAAGTAGCAGCACTACTTTTTTTTTTCAAAAATGTGATCATGGCATAGAATCAACTGGGATCTGCTCATAGCTGTGATAATTTGCAGTGGGGTGAAAAGGATTAACAGCAGTGAGGCATCTATAGGGCAGACAGGAGCGAAAGTCCAAAGTATCTGGTGCACTTCTGGTTTAACAGCAGCAACACCTCAAGGTCCTTGTCCCCCAGTTAGGCTGCTGAGATGTAAACCATTTAGTTGGGAAGCACGAGTGCACTGTTGTGTGGAAGAACTTCAGGTTCATTTGTTTCACAGCAATGTTGGCTCTGTAATCAGCAGAGGGGGAGCTCCGGTGTATGAAAGGGTGCAGCAGGTCTTAAAGGTGGCCTAGGACTCTTCGTTCAGTTCACTCGTGAGGGTGACGACAAACCCGTGGGCTAAGCATGCACTCGGAGGCATTTAGTTGCTCCATTCCAAAGGTGTAGCCATTTCTCTTAGCCACCAATGTCCGGCTGACAGACTTTTTTGGGGTTCCTAGTGAAAGAAAAAGGATTTTCCTTGAAGCATGCCTGGCCTCCATGAGCTACAGAGCATCTTGCCCTTCATCCATTGGGTAATGGGCCCGTCTGAGATGTTTAATCTAAGGTTGCCATGCTAAGGTATCTCTCTCCAGGTGACCCTACCACCCAGCTTCTCTCAAAGCTGTGGTTTCCTCCTTGCATTACACGGCAGCTGTCGATTATGACATGCTTGGAACAGACACCAGATTGCTGTAGACCATTATTATAACACAATCATTTTTAACTACTGACATCATATAGAGAACAGGAAGGAACGATCAATGTCTGTAGCTTTCATCCCTTGGGTGTCTGCTTTTTGTCAAGGGGAACTACAGTAAGTTGTCGCCTTTATCGGTTTTCCAAACACATTTGAAGTTTTTTCTTTGTAAACAGACCTAAGTGTTTGTTACTCAAGAAGCATCTGAGAGGTTTCATTTGGTTTTGATTACCGTGACCCAGAAATGTTCAGGGGTGGACTGATTACTCTGCTGAAACTAGCGCAAGCTGTGAAGGGAGATGCATAGACTTTTAAAAGCAGATTTTTTTAAAATGACATATAGAATTGAAAAACCTTTGGGGTGTGGAATCCTCATCAGATGATCTGAAAATAGGCGCTGATTTCATCAAAACTCTGCTGGAATCTCATTGGCGGTTTTGGAGCATTAAAGAGCTCCCCCCCCCGGCCCCATCTTGCACCTCCCTCAGGATGAAAGGGTTCCCTAGGAAGCTTTGGAACCTTGTAGGGAGGGATTGGAAACTTTTCACTCCAGCGAAAAGTGCCATAGCTAATTACGTCATCAGTATTGCTCAGCATAAAGTTGTACAACAGGATTCTGGCCTTTGAATCCTTTGCTCTCTGACGCTCCTTTTTGGCAATGCCACTTAAGAGTGCAAGTTCCTGTGTTTCTGTTTTGTAGTTCTGAGCAAAAAAATGGTCTATTGCCTGATTTGTGCACATGAATAGGTGTCTTGGGGAGAATTTATGATGTATATTGAGGAGGGAGAGGTTGAACTCTTCATCAGACTCTCTACTTTTGAAAAATAGTCTCATCTGTCTGCTAAGAAACTACAGGCTAAATAAATCTGTATAACTAGTTCATGCTTGTGGATGAAAGAAAGCAATGGACTGAAATGGTTTTCTACAGCAGCATTAAAATAATGCTGTTAGATAGCACAGTGGTTTAGGAATCTGACTGTGACGCCAAAAGCTGGGAGTTTGATTCCCTTCTGTGTCTCTGTGCCTCCTTGGCAAGGGCTGGACTTGATGATCCATAGAGTTCCTTCCACCTCTGCAGTGCTAAAGTTATATATATATATAATCTCAGACTATTGAGAGAAGGGCCATTTTAGCCAATATATGTGTGTGAGAGCGAGAGAGAGCTCAGTGGTGATCAGTTGAGGGATAGCTTGTAAAAGAAAATCATCCTCATCTTCAAAAAAAAAAAAAAAAAAAAAGATTTCTGAACAGTTTTGCTCCAGCTCTTTTAGGAGTTGCAAAAGAATGGTGAAGAATAGGCCTTCTTGACACTGGACTTTACATTGTCAATGTTATCGTCGCCAGTCCAGTTTATGAACTGATCCATTTGTTAACAGCACATCTGTTACGGCTGTTGACAGTTGCACAGAGGCCTGTATCTCTAGGATCCAGCTGTGCCAGCTTGGAAAGAACATTCAAAATTTAGCCAAGGTTCAGCCCTCATTGTTTTCCAAGATGGCGCCTCCACCCTTTGTTGCATATACAGAAGCTGATTTGACTGGAAGTTGAGCAGTTGAAGCTTACGCCAAGATTCACAGTCACAGGGATCCCCCAGCATACCCAAATGCAACAGGCTAGTTTAGGTGGTATGGGAACAACTGGTTAGCACTCACTGTCCTCCGAGAGAGCCAGGGGACTTGAGAGGAACCGTTGGAGGCTGTCACCATTGTTTCCTACCATCTGCCTGCCTGGACAGTTGCCTCACTCTGTCTAATGGCAGAGTTTGGACAGAATGGCCAAAACCCTGCTGGGTTTTTATGCAGCTGCTGTAAGTTGCCACAAGTTGAGCCTTTAGCATAGGCACTGACTGCTGCCTCCCAGGTCATGCAAGCAAGTGCTTCGTTTGATCCAGCTCTTTGTCTCATCTGGCCCTTTGTGGCATCTGGCCACCAGCTGCTGCTGCTTTTCCA